AGTGCTGTGATGTCATAGCTCATAGCAACCTCAAACTCTTGGGCTCAATAATCCTCTTGCCTCAGCCTCCCAAGTAGCTGGGACTAGAGGTGCCCACCATAATGCCCAGCTATTATTTTAGTAGAGATAGGGTTTTACTCTTGCTCAGGCTGGTCTTGAATTCCTGAGATTAACCAATCCACCTGCCTCAGCTTCCTAGAGTGCTCGGATTATAGCTGTGAGTCACTGCACCTGGCCTGAGTTCTCATTTTTTAAATGCACATTTATTTTTATCTGTCTTAAGTGAATTTAGTACATACTATATGTACTAAAATGTTAATTTTTTGTCCTAGTGATAAGAATATAGATGACTTTTCTTGATATTTAATACATGTATATTTATATACATAATATGTATGTTCCATTTCTAAGAATTAAAAATTAGTTTAATGAGAAAACTAAATGCTGGAAGGGAACAATTATTTTTATTCTTACCTGAAAATTCAAAGAACTTAAAGTAGGAAATGGCTAAAAAGAGTTGTGCAAAAATCTCTTTTTTTAACTCTTCTGGACTATTACCCTTCTCGGGTTTTAGTTTTCAGAGAAGTTACACATCAGTTTCCTTCTACCTGCTATTGAAATTTTATTTTATTAATGTCTATTAATGTTGCATTTTCTTCTGTTAAGGGGGAGTTTAACCTATGAGAGTTTCAGATTGAGTTCCTTACCATAACGCTTTATGTCTAATTCTTCCTACATTTGGTTATTAAAACTAAAGTTCTAGGTTATTGGAATTGATAGAAACACATAAGACTACTTACAGCTTTGGTCTCAATTATCAATTGAGACATTATTAGTTACCAGTAAAGATTTTTCTTAATTTTCTCCCAATATCAGCTATACATGTGAGTTGAAAGATTTTAGAATATTTAGTTTGCTAAATTCATTGAAATGGAATTAAAAATAGGATTTCCAGCCAAGAATTCATTGTAGAAAAACTCAGTATAATTTTATTTATGTTGGGCTTGGTAAAAAGTTTGTCTTTGAACTTCATGAAGAAAAAACTTTCTAAGCAAAGTTATTTAATATAAAGAATACTATATAAAGACCATCTTTTATATGTGGATAAACTTATAGATTACTTTTTTTGTACTGTTTAGTATAAATGGTTACACTAATTATGAAAGAGTTGATAGAATGCTAAAAAGCTTTTCTTTTTTTAAATTTTTCTTACTTATACATGGGTTTATTAGGTTTTCACTTTTGCCTTGACAGAATTAAAAAGGCTAAATTTAATGACAATAACAATATTTAACATAAGGACTGAGAACAAAAACC